CAGCAGTGAGGGTCCTTCCAGGACCTGGCTGCCCCAGGAAGGTGTTCGAGCTCTGCCTCTGCTCGCCTCCCCCGCCTGGCTGCCCCCGGGAGAGACTGGTCGAAGCAGTGCAGCCTCCTTCGCCCACGTGGGCCGAGCCTCCTCCCGCCGCCAAGGCCACAGTGTGTGAGGCCGTGGTGACTCACTGCTCATGGCTTCATTCCCCTGGAGAACAGGAAGCCCACAGCCCTGCCCACCTGCTCACTGCCTGCCAGGAGCTGGGCGGCAGCACCCCCACTCACCCCGCAGAGCCTGCCCCGGGGCCTGTGAGCAGGACTGGTGGAGAACAGGGAGGAGGGAAGGTTCCAGCGGCAGGAATCCAGGCGAATGTGGTGGAGGGTGTGCAGGGCAGGGAGCCAGCCCTCTGCTGCTGCTGGTGGTGGGGGTCTCCCTGTGCCGCCCGCCCCTCATGATGCAGAAGGAGGGCAAGCACAGCTTATCTCCCAGACCTGAGATGCCCCCTGGCCGAGCCACTTGTCCAGGCCATCAGCCTGTGAGCCGGCAGCCCCAGGACCCCACCCAGGTTCCCCCTCATGGTTCTGGGACTGTCCCCAGGGCACTCCAAGCCCACGTGAGCGCACACGGGGCCTGAGTGGGGGGCAAGCACATCTTCTTGGTCTCAAACCTCTCTGTGCCCCACAGCCTCTCAGACCCAGAGCCTGCTCCCTGTCCCTCACCCCCCTCCATACATGCAGAGGGGTCCTGACAGGCCAGGCGCCCCTCCATCCTCCACTTGGGGACTCAGTGATGGGGGCACAGGCTTCGAGAGGTGAGAGAGGGGCTGAGGGGGAGGAGGGACACAGGGGCTCTAGGGGCCCATGTCACAGGCACCCAGGAGGGGGCCTCCAATAGCCAGGCCATTGTCCCCTCCTCCCCCTTGCTGGGAGCCGTGGCTACATCATTTGATCGGCTGTTTGACAGGGTCCAGCCGATTAACGCCGAGGGGTGCAGGGTCGCCCCTTGGTGAAGAATAACCGGCCAGCCCCTCACATAGTTCTGAAACCTGTGCTGCTTCTAATTGCCCTTCATTCCTTTTCCTTTCTTAACCTCCAGTTTTCACTCCTTTGGGTGGCTGCTTGGGAGGCACTACCTCCCGGGAAAATTAGATATAGTAAGAGAATGTGACCACCTGCAGGTAACTTTCAAGATATTTTTCAGTTAATTATTGGAGGAGCACACAGTCCCATTTGAGACAATCAGAAAGGAATCCTGCCCAGATAAGATGTCGAATTAGGTTTATGGCCTCCATCTGGTTAATGTTTCCTTCTCCCTCCAGTTCTTTGTCTAAATATATATATGCATCGTCCTTCTAAGTTTGCTGGTTAATTGGATGATCAAGAAGTATCTATATATTATTCTTGACCTTCTGCTTTCTGTTAAAATGTTATAGAGGTTTTCTCCCAGAAGCAATAAATAATAAATAATTGATGAGTGGAAGGGCCGAGGGGTGCAGGGATGCCCCTCAGTGAAGAATGGCCGGCCCACACCCCTGATATTTTCTGAAATTATATGCATGCTTTCTAGCAAGGTTATGTCTATACTTATTTCTGTTTTTTATTCTTGAAGATATACAGTTTAGCTTAGCTTTTCAGCCCTTTACTTTACTAACAAAGTGATAACTTTCTCCGGCAGTGTACTTAAGGGACTGTTAGCTCTACAATCTAAAAGACAAAGGAATGCTTCCACCCCCCAAAGCGCGCGAAAATGTAAAGATGTTAAACTGCCCACTGAGAATGCAGATAGCCCTGGGGATAAGACTCCCTGGAGTCGCCTTTTGTTCCCATTAACCATCTACACTAATGGCGTAAATGATTGAGGGAGGCAGGGATGGCTCCACCAGGATGTAACCAGACGGGCTGCTGTCCTGTCCGGAGGCCTGGACCTTCTCTCTTTGATTTAACTTTACCATGAATTACAACAGACGCCTAGGTACCTATCTCCTTTAGCTTAGAGACAACAAACACTAGTTAATTGCGGAGAAGACTACCATTAACCTTATGCTCTATAGAATAGAATGCTAATAAATATTCTTGTGCTCGTTTTTCACTTCCTTATCTCTCTGAGAATATTTGTAGAACTATTTCTGTACTAATCCTGAAAAATATATAAACGACACTTGTGCACAGTAAAGTCGGACTTGCTAACACCAACCCAAGTCTCACGTCCTCTTTATTTCCCCCTCACTCATCGCGCCGACGCCGTCCATCCCTCAGGAACCTGGACTCCCCCGGGGCGGGACCCCGGCACCCCCTGAGCTTGAGTGTCAGCTGGGAGCCCTGCCGGGGCCTCCACGTGTATATCCTCATGAATGGGGCCCAGGGGATCTCACGACCCCCAGGAATCCCATCCGGGTTCCCTGCACTGCCTGCCCTGAGGAGACCTGGGAGCACAGACTGTGAGCACGAGGCGGCATTCCAGAGTCTGGGGGTTCACGAAAGGGGCCAGGCCAGACTCACTGGCCCTGCTGTAGATGCTGCACAGCTGCCTTTGGGCAAAGAAGTTTCGAGAAAAGAGAAACTCTTCTGATGGGGCTCCCTGCACTGTGTTTACTGATGTGGCTGGCAGTGAGTGGAGAGGCCTCCTCTGGGCCCCATGGTCCCCTCCAGGTCCCCACCTCACTTGCTCCCCATGCCCCACCCCTAGCTGCCCGCTTGGCCCCGGGTATGCCGTGCAGCCAGCACGGCTCCCCTCCAGCTTTCATGGGTGCAGTGGCAGTATCACCCAGAAACTGGCTGGAGAAGTGCAAGCCAGAGCCCCCTCCCCACCTGTGAGCCCTGGACACTCTGAGGGCCACCCACCTCCACCTGGGCCCCATGCCTCTGCTCTGGGGCAACAAGGGGGATCTTTCCCAAATGGCCTGGCAGGGTCAAGCTCCTTCCTTCCCATTGACATCCCCCAGGGCTGGGCAGTCCTGTAAACACCAGTGCAGTGTCTCCACGCATGGGGCCACAGGGGTCTTTCCTCTGAAGGATTCATGCACACACAGCTCACCTCTGAATGCCATCCACATACAGCCACAAGGCCCCTGAGCCTGGCACACAGGAGGCTCTCCCCCTGAAAACAAGGTGGAGCAGAACGGAGACTGGGGGTTGCCTAGAGCTGGGGTGGGGTGGGGAGTGGGGAGTGACTGCTGATGGGCATGGGGTTTCCTTCTGGGGGGATGGAGTGCTCTGGGACTGGACAGTGGTGGTGGTAGACGACGTCGTGAATGTCCTAAATCTCATGTTCTGTATATTTTACCACATCAGGAAACCCCAAACCACAGGGTCTGGGACACTGTGGAGGAGTCAGGGCCAGCTTCCCACACCCCAGGGGACAGGGAGAACTCCTGCCCAGCAGACACACGCCCCCCCCTCCCCCACCCATGGCCCACGGCGAAGACATTTGCTGTCCACCTCTGACAACTGAGGATGTGTCACTCCAATTACATCAACCACAGTCACTGGCATTTATCGAGGCAGCCAGAGGACCTGGGCCCACTCAGGGAGACGGACGTCGTTTCTTGCCCAAGATCAGAAGGCTCTCCGGGTGCTGTTTCTGAGAATTAGCCAAGTTCCAGGGGAGTGAGCACCAAGGGGCTGGTGCTGACTTGGGAGGTGCTGAGCACACGGCTTCAGCCAAGGGAAGCCCCCAGCCCTGTCTCGAGTTCCAGGAGGGCAGGAGAGCCTCCCGTCACAGACGCATGCCAGGACCCACCTGTCCTCCCCAACCTCAGCTCATGCAGGGGGTCGAACTAAACTCTTTACCTGGGCAGGTGTTCTTGGGTGGGTTTGTTTATTGCTATAAGACTCAGCCTAACAAGATAAAACAAGATCACCTTTAGAAAGGCCCTCTGCCAGACTCCATCCTCGACTTTACGTGGATGAAGACTTTGGGGTCAATTTCCCCTCCTGATTCTACTTGGAGAAGGCACCCGAATGTCATGTGAGGTCTGGTAGGATGTTCTGTTTCCAGCAGCAGGCTGATTTTAAGATCCCTCTCCACAAGCTTTGGCAGCTCCTCATACACACATTCCCTACGTACTGACCTTATTCACAAACATGACTTTTTCCCAGCTGCATCAGCAGTGGGTTATTCTGAGAGCTCAGTTGTGTCCTGACAATTTTCAATCTCATGTGCTTTATGTGCTAACTTGAATGATTGCACTGTTGGGGGAAAATGCAGATTCGCTCACCCAGTCCAGGGCTGGGCGGGGAAGGAGCCCACAGATACCACTGGCCCCGGCCGCACCCCCACCATACTCTGCAAGGAAAGTGTTTAGGATCCAGAGCCCTGCGTGAGTCCTCGGCGCTCGCCTTCACGCCTCCCCTGAGGCTGACGGAGCTAAAGTGCTGGGTGTTTACCCAAGACAGCTATTTGGGGAAAAGGCAGAGAAAAGCAACATTTCTCCCAGCTTCCTGCCAGCCCCCTCAGCGTATGAATTATTCCCACGGGCTCATTCTGCCAGTCCTTTACGGAAAGACTCAAATTCATTTTGCTTTGTTCCACCCAGGAGAATACGAAGTGAAGGAGCGTTGTCACTCTCAATAAGTGACCACGGCATGAGCTTGAAGGACGCTGTCCCTCAATTAATAATAAATGACCACGGCCAGAGTCCGGAGGACACCAGGCCTCCGCCAGACCGTGGGGCTCCGCCATCAGAGTGCTTCCGGCCCTGGCTTGTCCCCCAAATCAACACAGCTGCGAGCGGGGCTGGGGGGCTGGGAGCAGACTGGGGAGACCAGACCCGGGAATCGGTCTTGGGGAGACTCCCCAGCACGGAGCATCCCGTCCCATCCTCCAGGGCCCCTCCCGGGAAAACGCTTCGCATTCTCCGCATCCCCCCGCGGAACTTCTCCCGCCCGGAAGGCAGCCCGGGAAAGTTGAAGGGCGCGGGCGCGCGGACGGCCTTCAGCACCGCGGACAGCTCCCAGCGCGCAGCCTCGGGGGGCGGCGCGCGGACCCCAGGCCGCCCCGCCTACCTGTCGTCGGTCTGGAAGGACTGGTCGCCCAGCAGCAGGTCCCGGAAGCGGTACCGCGGCGGCAAGGGCAGCACCTCCGAGTCCAGGTCGCTCATCTTGAGGCTGGCGGTGTCCAGGAGCACGCCGTCCCCGGCGCCCAGCTGCCTGCGGGCACACGCCAGCGCCCCCTCAGCCCGCGCCCGCGCGGGGACGGCCAGCCCCTGGCCCACCCCCCCCCCCGCCCCGCCGCGCAGCCCGCGCAGCCCAGCCGGCCGCCACCGCACCTGCCGCACCCGCCCCAGCTGTGCGGGCTGGGTTGGGGGAGGCTCACTCCAAGGTGCCTGCAGGGCACGGGGAGGTTTGTCACTGCCAGCTCAGGGGCAGGCACTCACAGCACCCCTGGACCCCCGCCAGGGCCATGCCAGCCCTCTCAGCTCCCCCCACGCACAGCCTTTGCCAGGGCTGGCTGCTCAGCCTTCCTCAGGGTCCACAACACCCGCCTCTGCCCAAAGGCCTCCTCTCAGACCCTCAGGCTGCTGGGAGCGGGGCAGGGGGTGACCAGGATGCTTAAGAAGAGGCCTTTGTCTGCCGCCTCCTGGGGGCAGCTCAGGTCAGATCAGACACTGGGAGGGGTCGTCTTTGGGGGAAGGCAGGATTCCCTTGGGCCCGAGCTATCCTTGAGAGTGTCACTAGGACACTGGGGCCACAGAGACCCTCATCCCAGTCACCTGAGTTAAAGGGCCTGCCAGTGCCAGAGCAGGGGGACAGGGCCAGGCCAGGCAAACTGGGAGGGTCCTTGGTGGTGTGCAGCCTTTTGGGGTCCAAGCATTCACCTTCTGGGCTCCTGCGTCTTTCCTGCCTGCATCCCCACATCAAGGTGAGTTTTGGCTGCAGCTGCCCCCACATGCAGCAAGTTGGGGCAGGGGCCAGCAGAGCAACTTCTAGGCTCCTGGTTCCCAGCTTCTTGGGGCAGCAGCCCCCAAGCCCTCTGGGCATTAGCCAGGACCTCTCAGCCCTCCAAATCAGAGGATCGCTATCCTTTGAGCCCCGTCCCAGCAACGCGGCCCCTGACCCAGCAGAGCAGCTGCACATCCATTAACTGGATGCCCTGGAGACACTTATGTCCACAGCACAGATGGAAAAATGGAGGTCTGGGCCATCGGCGCGAGGGGGAGACTCAGGTCAGACCTCAGGGCTCCTGACCCCAATCTGCGCCCTGGACTCCTGGGCCTCTGGTATCCCCCTGACCTTCCAGGTGAGTCCATCCCCAGGCCACCCATCACTGCAGCCCCTCAGATGGCCCACAGTGGGATGCCTGTGAAGAGGCAGGAATTCTTGTGCTGGGCTGAGCATCTCCTTCGCCCGGCTCCTTTAAGAGCTGACACCCTCCACTCCTTCAGGAGGGTGGCGCACGGTTGTGATCCTTTAGTGTCAGGGGACCAGGAAAGGGGCCTCCTGGACCCCTTCTAAGTCGCTGTAGGGAGGGCAGAATGGGCTGGGGGAGAGGGAGGTCTCCACCCGATCGGGCCGACCCCTAAGGCGCTGTGACCGGCAGGAGGGCAGCAAGGAGGGTGGAGGAGCCCAGCTCGCCTGGAGCAAGTGTAGGAGTCAGCTGACCACACTCAGCTCCCCACGCCGGGAAATCGAGGGAGGGCAGGCTGTGCCCAGAGGCTGGGAACGAGGGCCACTCACCTGGGGCATGAGGTCCACGCGGGCAGACAGGTGCCACAAAACCCTTCTCTTCCTCAAGCCGGGAAGGGCAGGCACATTCCCTGAGGCCCCACCCAGGGCCCGTCCCACACCCCCCACCCCCGGATGAGCAGCAGGCGAGTGTCGGCACCCCCATCCTAGAGCCGTCAGGAGCGGCTTGAAGGCCGTCCCAGACTGAAGCTGCAAGTGGCAGGCACAGGCCCAACATGCCGCCCACTGTTTTCCCAGGTCATGGGGTCAGCCTCGAGGACCTGGCAGCGTTCGAGAAATAACATTTTCCTAATTGCATCAGCGTGGCTGCATGTTTTTCCTGAGTCACAAGCTAGCCGGGCCGTGGGGCGGAGTGGGCAGGCAGGGGAGCACATGGCCAGAGGTGGGGGCTGTATTTCCTTGGTTTTGCCCCTTGCTTGCTGAAAGCCTCTTTCAACGGCAGAACCTCAAGGGACTGCTGGCTCCCTAGGTGCGGCCGGCTCCCATCCTCCCATTTCCAGCTGCTTCAGGTTTCTCTCCCAGTCTCGAGGCCCAGACTTGGCAGGGCCCGTGGAGGAGCTCAGAGGTGACACCTCCGTTTGCTTCAGGGGGACACGGGGATGCGCCAGAAGTCAGGAGGCCTGGCCTGGGCCCCTGCGATGTGGCTGGGGGGGGGGGGTGGTGACAAGGGTACACTGCCCCTTCTCCCTTGCGGTGTTGCTGCGACACTGGACAATCGAGTGAGCACAGGGTCTGAACCGACACCCCACAGACCTCCTGGCATCTTCCCTGTTCCCCTAGCAGAGCCAAAAGCCGACGGGGAGCTGATTGTTTGTTGTGCTGGCCGAGGGCCCTGGGGTCTCCTGGAAAGGTGCCCATGGCAGGAGGGATGGACATGGCTGTGCAGCTTCTCCCTGTGTTGCCAGGGTCTGGTACAGGCCTCTCCCTGAGCCTGAAGGACGGTGTCACTGAGAGCTTTTGGACATGTGGGTTTGGGGGGGGTCCCATCCCCGCAGAAGCTGAGATGGTCCGGGTGGGGTGAGAACACGACCCTGATACAGCTGTCTGGACACGGGGGGCCCACCTCGCAGTCTCTGCCTCCTCATCTCCCCTTCCCACCCCCTCCTCCCTGCATGACCTGAAAGGTCCAGGAGGAAGTCTGGGACCCCCGAGACCACGCCTGTCATCTCCTCATCTTCTGTGTGGACGGCCGCACCAAAGAACTGCTGATTTCTACAAGAACTCAGTGCTTTGGTGACTCGAGACAGGCGTCCAACTCCCCAGCCCTCACTCACCCTCAGCACAAAGTGTGGAGCCCCACCTGTGGGACTTGCCGCCCCCTGGAGCCAGGGCAGAGCAGCCCCCCTCCCAGGCAAGGCTGGGGGAGCCCCTGCTCCTCTTGGGGACTCTGGGGGGCCCATGGGCACAGAACTGCCAGGTCCAGGGAGCAGCCTAGGGTCCCGATGACTCGAGTGTGGCTTGGCCCTGCCCTACCAGTCCATGCTGGGTGGCCCGGGGAAAGTCACTTGACCTCTCTGAGTCTGTTTCCATATCTGTAAATGACTATGCTGATGTCTTCTGTCCTTACGGGGTGATTGTAAAGATGTAAAGAGATAGTGAGTGTGAGGTGTTCATCATAGTACCCAGCGGACGAGTGCTTAATCAATGTCAGTTTTTAATCTGGGGCCCGTTAGCCAGCAGTCTGGCCGAGTTCTGGTGGACAAAGGCTCTGACTGCAAGCATCAGGTCCCTGGGATGGTCAGCTCCCCATCACGCCCTCCCCGGTCAGCTGGAGGTCCCTTTGGGGAGCTTGGATTCAGGTGCTGATCTATGGGACCCAGCCAGAGAGGCCAGGATGAGAAAGGAGGTCCACCCCCAGTACACACAATGGGAGCCCCACCCCAGCAGTCTGTGCACACGTGGTCCTGTGCCCTGACCCACCAACTCCAGGGGAGGGAGAGCCCGGCGGAGTGTGGGGACTGGGGCTGCAGGGTGGCGGCATGGAGCCAGGACTCCCTCTCCATAATGTGACACGAGGACTCGTGGGCTCACGGAGCCTGAGGAGCTTCACTGAGGTCCCGCAGCCCAGAAAGGGGCCGCGGGATGGGAGGCCAGGTCGGCCTGATGCTCAGCCGTCCTGTTTACCTCCAGGCTGAGCTGCCTTTGGGCGGTGGGGGAACCCCTCTGAAGGCCAGGGATTTCTGCCTCTCTGTCCGTTAGTGGTCAAGGAGTCAGGACTGAGGAAGGTAAAGTGGTCAGACTGCTTCTTCCGCCAAAGGCACCAGGCCCCGATGGTTTCACGGCCAAGTTCTGCCACCTCTGCCAAACGGTCCCAAGGCACAGGAAGAAATGAAAGCTACTCTGCTCATCTCCCAAGGCTGGCCTGATCCCATCACCAACCAGGCACGGACAGCGCCAATGGAGGCACTAGGCAATCTCCCATATGACTCTAAGCACAAAATTCCTAAATAAACTCTTAGCAAGTGGAATCCAGCAGTGTATTAAAACAACACCACAACGCGAAGTCGAATAGGACTTATCTAAAAAAAGATGCAATGTGCTTCATTATGCTAAGAAATTAAAGGAGAAATTCCATATGATCATGTTAGTAGATATAGAAAAAAAACTCGAGTCAAAACCCAATAATAAATTAGATATGGAGGGAAACATTCTTAATTTGATTAACAACACCAAGAGGAATCTCCAAGAAGTCGAGGCAAACGGTTTTGCCTCTAGTGAAACATTGGAGGCATTCCCACGCAAGGTGGGAGCACGGGTCTGCTGGCCGTGAAGGGAGGTCCGACCTGTGCACCGAGACCAAGAAAAGGAGAACAACGGGCACTGAAAGGAAGAAATGGGCTCTGTTTGCAGCTGGAATAATCATTTAGCTGGAAAACCCAAGAGAATCCACTGAGAAACTACTGGAACAAATGAGAGCATCTAAGGATGCAGCCAGATCTGAGAGTGTCACGCAGACCAGGAGCAAAGCAGTGAGCATCATGGGAAGATGCTGCTCATGGCAGCTGCCAAAGCCAAGGACCCGGAGCTCCACTCGCCACAAACCTCAGGACCACTGGGAGACATCGGATGTCGGTCCTGAAAGATGGGCCAGAAGCTGTCACTCACGGGAGGGGGAGGAGGTCACGTTCCCCATGGCTCAGGAGTCCATTCTCCAGAAAAAGGGGCAAAGGTAATCAGCTCCCATCAACATGCACGGTCACTTTCTCAGAACCTGATCAATCATTTCCAAAATACATCCCGAAGAATAATTGTGCAAGAACAGCCAAAACGAGTGTGAGAATAAAAACAGAGAGAAGGGACTCGCCTTGCCGGCTGTCAGGACTAATTTATATAGCCACAGCAATGGAAACTGGAGGATTTGGCACAAGAAAGGACACACAGCAGGAAAATTTAGGTCGTGAGAAAGGAGGCGGTGGGGGGGCCTTGAGTAGCGCGGTGCTGGGTCAAGGCAGCTCACCCTCCGAGGGCTGCCACCGGGGTGCTCAGAGCATCCTTGGCTGGTGGGGGGATGGAGGCCCCGAGGCCTGAAGGAGCTCACCTAACCTTGGCAGGGCCAGTGCGGGAACCCAGGTACCTCTGTGGCTCTGCTCTACGGCCGCGTGCCTTCCGTTAGCTAAAGTAAGACCCCAGCTCACAGCCCCAAGCTGAGGAAGAGACTGCAAGAGAAAACAGGGGAATCACATTTGGCCTCGAGAAGGCCTCTTATTCAATGCACGAAAACCAGAAAGCGTAGAGGAACAGACTTACAAATGCTTCCACATCAAGCAAGACGCTTCTGTTTAAGTGAAGACTCGTTGGCAAGAGGACAGAATAGCAGTGACCAGGGAGGACACAGCCACACCAGCCACGATGGGCAGGTCACTGCAAGAATGCCCGAAAGTCATGCGGAAAAGACAAACCAGTGGAAAACAAGGCAAAGGACGGACTAGCAGCAGCTCAAAGAAGAGAAAATGAACAAATAAGCCTTCATGGGAACAGGCTTTCTGCCTCACTGGTCTCTCAGGAGACGGAGCCGAGTGGTCTCACGTGCTGACAGCCATGTGCGGTCTGAGAACGTCCAGGGCGGGGAGCGTGTGGAACCCGGGCTCTGTGTCCATGTGTGTCACGTGACACCAGTGGAGCCGCCGGAGCCATGGACTGCCTGTGATATAACAGCATGACCCGGAGCCTCTCCCCGGGACATCCTCACCCTGAGCCTAGGGAGGCCCAGGCACGGATTTCCATCACAGCCTTAGGACAACGCTGGATGTCCATTAATGCAGGACAGTGCCGCTCTGTGACCGAGCAGGTCCACGTGACCCGTGTGGACGCATCTCTACAAATGTAAACAACCCTTTCAACGGGATCCTATTTATGTAAAAGACCAAACACAGCTCTGCTCTGAAAGGGCCCCGTGAGGGGGGCCCCCTGGTCACTCGGCTCATACACGACGCACTCACTGAGCCAGCACACCGCGACCTCGGTTTGGGAGGTGGCAGGGGGGTGAGAGGTAGAGTCTCATCCACGACACCAGACGTGGAAACTGTATCATATGAGACTCGTGTTACCAGACGTGAGAAAGCCGCGGGATCGCCTGCCTCCCCAAGCTCAGCCCTCGTCGAGGCCCAGCCCGAGACGGGCCTCTGGGAGGAGGGGCCTGCTCCTCAGGCTGGACATACACACCTGGGAAAACGTTCCTTCTCCCCCCAGGGTTCCTGTTAGGAGTCCACACTGCTCCTAATGCTCACAACGACCATGCAGGGCCCCGAGTGTGACTGAGGGACACCCCCGCTGGCTAAGGGAACGGTCCCTCTCCTAAGATGCACTCTTTGATCATTCATGCTCGGTTCAGAATTTCCAAGGCGCCTGGAGACACGTTTGACAGAGGGATTGGGGAGGGGAGACGTGTGCAATGTGTGTGCGGGCAAGCATGGATGTGCATAGGTGTGCACATGTATAGATGTGCATGGGTGTCCGTGCATGTGTGGGGACATGTGTGTGAGTGTGCATGGAGGTGTGTGTTCACGTGCACAAGCATAAGTCTGTGTGTGTGTGCAGATGCTCACTCGTCCCTGCCCAGGGTCCAGGAGAGCCCGCAGACGCTGTAG